AGGCATGTTGCTGTATAAAAACTAAAATAACACTGTTCACCATAGCAACAATTATAAATGTATTTACTTATTATACCAATCTAACAACCACACTAAATCTCGGCGTTTAATTTTTGTCTTCGTACCTCGAATCGTCTAATGCAAATTAAAACCGGTGTTTATTACAAGCTAAACATAAATATATTTACAAAATAATAAAATTATTATTATAATTGATTCAAAACAATTCGATATTTTTATATTTGATTACGCTGGAAAAAAATACTACAAAAATAAATGAAAGGATAAAAGAAAAATTTGAAAAAGTCATGTAAATCTTAGCCCGAGTTGAAGAACCGTTCGCGAATCAACTTCACTCATTTGTTCGACGCAGGTTTAAACAAAGCGTATAAAAATTATTTCAATTTTTAAAATACTATAATATTTCATAAGAAACGATCGTTCGTTGTTTTATTTTTGACACGACGTCGTCGCACAGACTTGTACTATTCAATCTAAAAATCAACAAGAAGTATAAAAGAATAAACTCTCCAAACTTTGGCAGAGAGATTAAGAGAATATTTGAAAAAATCGCCACGAGCGGACAATATCCTTCGATACTCTAATCTTAACTTAACGATAGGTCTAGTAACAACGCAAACAGGGCAGACTCGTTACTGGTAAGGAAATAGTTTGATTAAAATCGCGGCGACTTTCGCGTTTTCGAGCTTCAAACTCCGGTGTCATCTCGAGAAACGTATGAAATCTTTGTCGCAGAACTACGTCTATAAGGAACTAACGTCTATTTATGATTAAATATTGCCGGATACACTTGAAAGTAGGTAACAGTATATAGCTACAAGCTTTTCAAATCGATCAACTTATTTCCCTTTCGGAAAAAAAATGGAATACATAAATAAATACAACAAGTATACGAATTACCTCGAATAAAACAAATAAAGCTTTCATTTACTAGGATCGAGGCGTTAACATCTTATGTTAACATATTTACGTTATGTACATATTTCATTTTCATTCGGCATCGTTACAGGCTCCTCGCCTAATAAATACAGATTTGTTAAAATCTGCTGATAATAGTAAACGAATATATTTAACATTTCATATCTAATATAAGAGAATTAATTGAGTACGTTAAAAGACATCTTCAAAAAGTATAATAAGTACGCAACTTGAGCATACACGCAATTAACGAGTCCTTGCTGTGTCTTTTATTATAGACCAACGTTATTTTAATTCGAAGCAATTTTATTTTATTTACTTTATCCAATCTATTCTATTATCTTGCTATAAGATTTTCGTCTGAAGAACAGATTACGTCACTGTGCGATCGAAGAGCTTGAAATTATTTTCCAAAGAGGCAACTTCTGTTGAAAATTTCTATGGATCTCGATGTTAACCAATGGGAAGCGGTCTACGCGCTTTCTTTCTCGTATGATTTAAATTGCAGAGAGTAACCGAGCGACAGGTAAGTAGGTAGGCAGACAGACAGTGATAGAGAGAAAGATAGAGATAGAGAGAGAGAGAGATGAAGCCACGCACAGATAGCCAGACAACAGACAGACAAAGATAGCTAGATAAAAAACATCGAATTATATCGTATTCCGTTCTAACTCTATAATTAATAAATGGTAAAGAGACACGCTGGGCATTGGCACGACGGGTGGCATTTAGATTTAATATAGAATAAAATTTACGTTATTGCGATAACATTTGGTATCGTTTTTGTTGTCGTCGCAACAACTCGGATCCTGATTTATCATCGCTTCCAAACTTTCTGGGCGTTCTACGATAGAGAATCGATTTTTAGCGAAACACGAAAAACACAACGATCTCCCGCCGCGGTACCGCGAGAAGATAAATCAGAGTATATAAAATACGTGGCAGCGGTAACAGTAACGATCATCATCGCGACGAATAATCGTTACCATCGTCATTTCGAACATTGTATAATTTTCACCCGTCAATGATAATTTGTTTATCCGCGACAACTTCGTCCGCCCGATCTCAACCTTCTAATCGGAACAACAACGCGCAATTAAAAATTATAATTATATATCGTCACATCATCTAATTTTACTAACGCTAACTTTATATCAACGACAACCAAAGCTTTTATTTTTGTCACTGCCGCGCGTGTAAATTATTATAGAATATTGACTAAAAATTCGATTCAATATCACCGTTGTCAATGGAAGAGGTATACGTGTATAGCCCAAAGCGTTAATGCAGATCCTTGCTTATAGGTTTTTGTTTTTTTTTTGTGTTTTTTTGTCATTTTTTTCCTTTTTAAGAGGTAACATTCCGCCTCTCTTCTCCTCGTATCATTTACCCTTTCATTCATACCCTATTCATTCTTTCCGCATTTTTTCATTTTTCTTGTTTGTTTCGTTTTGATTAGATTGGTACAGTCTACGTTTGATACGCATCGCAGTCTCGATTGAAGGAAACTGTTCAGAGCAAATTGAGTGGAACACTCGAGAGACCATTGATCATACTTTTATACTTTCTTGCACGCGCGATCTTAAACTGTCGACAGCGTGGCGACGTTCTCTCTAGAAATTCTAGAAGCAGCCAACGTATATCGTTCTCATCTCATCGAAACTAATGGCTGCGGTTATATATGCACGTACCCTTTTAATTTAATTTAATTTAATTTAATTTAGTTTAGTTTAGTTTAATTTAATTTAAATTTCATCATCTCACCTTTCTACCGTTTGTGCTCAAATTCGTAATATATATAAGTAAAATGATTCGGAATTTCTACTTTCGCGAAATGAACTTGCGCATCGATGTTTCAATTTCAGTACAAATTACACTAGCGCGATAAGAGCGGTTCACGATTCAGGATTCGAATCAAGTTCGGTAGAATGAAATGGAAATTATTCCGGTAGTATTGAAAACGTATTTGAATACTACGCGAAGATTTGTCAGACCCCGCGATAGGCGCTAGGTGATAATTCGAGATATTAAAACATCGGTGGATATTCTAAGTAGTCTAGCATACATCAACTTAAACATTGGAACATGCTAATAATACATATTTCTGCGTAAATAGAATATCAGGTGGAAATATGGTGTATGCTGAGTTGATAACGCGACCCGAACAGGAAGAATACTAATTCAGCGATCGAAACGTTATCGTAGAATATAGAAGATAGGACGTGTCTATCGGTAGCTGGTGCGCACTATGTACAAACATACGCGCATCGTAACTTCGCAATATACATGATGTAGATATATAACCAGGTGAAACGAACAGGTATTACATTACCCTAAAATAGCAAAATACCAAAGGTTGCAACGTAAGCAATGTCACAGGTATCGTAAAGAGAATACTAATTTGAATTCGAAACGGCGAGGGCCACCACGATAAACCACGGCGCACATCGAAGGCGTTGAAAAATTCGAGATACGATACCCTCCCCTAGCCCTAATTGTCCGATTCTTCCCCGTCCTGTCACCGAGGTAAGACAGATATTCGGCGTGTAAACGGAATGTTAGAAAACGGAAATAAATAGAGAAATCGGATCGTCGCTGGTGGCGAAAACGAAGCGAACGGTCTTTAAGTAACTTTATATCAGCGCGAGAACCGGTCCATCGTCTGCGGAATAGGTGTGTACGCGGTATAATTGACGTGTCGTGAAGTAGAAGGGTTGGTCGTCGTACGAGTGAGACCGCTCCTCCGCGCGGCACTCTACATCGACTCACCTCCCAGAAGATCTCCGGGTAAGTACGAGTTCAGAGAACTAGGCGTAGCACGTTGCTGATCGTTGCTGTCGATACCGGCGTTGCTCCAGAGCGAATTGCTGCTAGGCGGGGCGCCCCACAGTTGGCTCGAGTTGCCGCCCCAGGTATCAGACGGCGGCCCAGTCTTGTTCGACGGACGCAGGCCCCATCCGGCTCCTGCCGTCGCTCCGGCTTGCTGCTGACCTCCTCCTCCGTGGCTCAGCTGCTGCAGCAAGCTGTGCACCTCGGTGTCCGCCGGCGATTCAGCGAATATTGTTGTGTTGCCCAGGACGCAATTGTTCAGAGCACCTTGTGCCTGAAATCATCGTCCCGCATTTTTATACTGATTCTCCTTTAAAATATTCCGAACACTTATTCTGTGCTTCACGCTCTACGATGGCTCGAAACTATTCTATTTCACGGAATATTTCCACGACCTTCGGACGTTTTAATACGCGCAACAAGTTTCTTCCGTCTTTTTAAAGGTAAATGAAGGCCACTGTATATTTTTACGATGAGTAACATTTATAGACTGTATTACGTAACCGCGTCTAATTTCATAGTTTGATGAGCGTCTCGCGCGAGCCATGTACGAGGAAGAAGCCGAGAATAAAAATAAACCACGTTTCTTCCGCTCGTGGTCTCGTTCTTGAATCGAATTCGATAATTTCTTTTTATTCGTGCATTCGACAAACTATTTCTCTTGGTTCATAACAATAATTTTGTTCTTACACGTGACTACGTTAAAATTTACTAGTAGTAAACTGCAGATTTTTATGCAAAATAAAACATTTATCAGTTTAAAAGACTGTGCTCCAAATAAACATTTAATTTGTCATTTATATACTGAAATATGCATTCTGCTTCCAATATTGTAAATAGTATTGTACATGCAGTATTTATAATTTCTGTAGATTCACTTTTGTTATAAATCCTTAGTCTAACTATTAGCAATATTTAAAATACTATTCTGAACTGCAGTTAAGCTAATTTCAAATGAACAGAATTCTTATCACATTTTGATAACTGAATAAAAACTTGAAAATATTTGGTATTGTGAAACTTTTGCTCGACAAATTTTGTGCAATANTTTAATGTTAGAGTGCAAGAACGACAGTGTAAGTGTTTGAAAATTTTTAAGTGAAGAGTGACAGTGGTGTAATGAAAGTGCATTTGTGTATAAAAATCAATCGGCTGCTTTCAAAGACGTTTATTGATAGGACGTAGGAGCAACAATCTTAGTGTGTTAAAATTTTTAAGAGTGACAATGATCGTGCGGTGGATTGCGGGGTTCCTTCCCTGAACAGAAGATCAGCTGTGGCCTACCTGCGAGCGGCAAAGACGCTGACCCATTGACCGTGGCCCATCGTTAGCAGGTGCACTTGCGAATGAATGGGTAAGTCTAAATCTCTACAGTTTTTACATTTCCTTTTTAATTCAATATTCCCTGCGACTTGTTAATTCCTCATTTATCCTATCATCATTCATCAATTATCAACAATCTATCTCATCCATTCCACGTGAATAACGATTAAGTGTATTAATTGTTATTCATAATAACAAACGAACAACAATTTCCTTGCATTGTTATTAATGTAGTTTGTTATTCGTCATTTTCTTAAAACGCTTCGTTCCGAGCGGAGCGCTTGTTCAAACGCGAGAAAAGTCGCCCGGCTGTCTCCGAGCCAGCGCTCCCGAAACGGAGACCGCCTCAACCGAGCGCTCTGATTGGTCCGTGTTTTTTGTTAATAACTCGGTAACCAAGCCCCATTTCGTATTTTACCAAAGGAAATTGTTGTTCACAATGCTCCTCCCCATCTGCCATTTTCGGCTCTAACAATCTTTCCGGAACACCCTGTAGATTTGACTGATCCATATCAAATGAGGAAGGTCATAGCTTCTCTTTTAAACGATGACTAAACCGAATAGATCTTGGAATATCGATTCCAAAATAGTCACAGTTGCCCGTTAGTCATAAGTAATGATTTGCAACCTTTCATAATATTAAAATTTCACGAAAGCAAGTATTGTGCGTTTTATACAGGCTTGCAGATTTTTTATTATTTAATGAAATTAAAGATTTAGTCATTTATCTGCAACCCTGGTTCTACATAAATAAAGACAAATGTTTTAGACGAAGTAGCCAAGTGAATCTTGTACTATTATTCAAAATTCCTCATTCGAAACTTATAAACGTACGGACCGATGAAAGACAATATTGGGCTAGCTTCGATGAACTTCAATTGAATCCACATTGTTAAACAACAAAATCGTTTGTGTTTGACATCTAAGAATTTGATATTCAAAACATTTTTTTTACATTTGATATGAACGTGAGATAAATTATGAAAATGGAAACTACGAATTTTGTACACTATATACTTGAACATTAAATGAAATAAAACGTTTCACCGGGCTAACGTATGATTTCATATTTCAAGGATATTTATACATTTTTCTGTGCACTATGTATAATTTTTTAAAGGAAAAATATGGGAAAACAGAGAAGAATAGTACAAGGCCATTAAAGGTAAATTGGATCGTCCAACAAGTATGTTTATACTTTAAATTTTCTCTTTAAATATTGTTCATTGATAATTGAAACATTCGATCAACATGTTTCCCGTAAATTGCAAATGTGAATTAATAAAATTTTACTTTTTCTTTTTGCGCTAACCGTTGCTAAATTTCTACTGTGAATAGAAAGCGGAAAAAGATTCGAAGTGAGTTAGATAGTTATTGGAGGATCCAACTGCGAGTATGTATAGAGTCGTAAAATATATGTACGAAAGAGACACTGAACCTTGATAGCCTCATCTCTGGACGAGTATTTGGTTAAAGCAATTCCATGATTAAGGTATAATCGGAAGTCTTGAACGGGACCGTGCTGCATGCAGAGGGTTTTCAAAGTAGAACCATCGATTTGAGGCGTCAGATTCTTAAGTAGTAACCAGGTAGAAACCCAGGCAGCGTTCGTGCTCGATTGAAAGCCCCACGAGGAGGATCTGGTCACGGTGCCGAAACCTGCCCACCCGTTGCTCGCGTTTCCTGTCGCTTTGCTGCTCAACCCTGGCGGAGGGCCGCGTACTTTGCTCATCGGTGCCCCCCAGAGCTCCGAAGTCACGGCGGTCGGCGGAGGCGCCGATTCGCCCCAAGTATTCTTCGAGCTGAAACATATTTTCCCATTTTATTATTTACTTTCCTGTTTTAAAGTGATCGAATCCTCATTATCGGAACTCTCTATTAACTGAACATTCTTCTATTAGAACATTCTATTATCCGAACAATATCTTTGAAGTTGGATGAGCCCTTATCAGGTCTGTAAATATGAAACCGGAATTTACTCGCACATGGCGCTGGCTGCCAATGTAGTTACATATAAGTAAACATGTAAGAATGAACAGCGTGTCGGGTCGAAAAGTCGAAATTATCTCTTTCTTTGTCTAACTACGCATGCGAATATACGTCTATACTATGATATTGGCCAATAGAAAAAGATAGTAGGTCCTTTTAGTGCAATGTTCTCTTTCTATTGCGGTGATACGGTAGCCACTTACAGGATCCCCCCAATGCTCACGCGGTCTATCCTTACATATCTATGGTAATTATCGTCAAACCGCGTCATTGACGCCATTGTCTTGTTTTGATATCTGATAAAGATTTTCAACTCACAACCATACAAGTTTCATACAACAGCATAGTTTTTAATAATCCGATGAAAACCGAAAAACTACTTGCGAAATGCTGCTTGCCACGTATAAAAGAAGGTCATTTCTCCATCGAATTGTGACTGGCGATGAGAAGTGGATATATTTGGAGAATCCTAAGCAATCTATTATGAGCTGCTAAAACCTAGCGAAACCATTAATACTGAACGCTATCGAAATAAATAATAGATTTGAATCAAGCTTTGCGTGAAAACCGACCGGATTATCGAAAAAGGCAACACAGTGATTTTGCTTCATGATAATGCATCATCACACAAAACAAAACCCGTCAAGGAAAGAATTGAATTGCATGCGCATTACTCACCAGACTTGGCTCCATCCAATTATTACTTATTTGCATCGATGGGACACGCACTTACTGAGCAACGCTTCACATCGCACGAAAATATACGAAAATGGCTCGATGACTGGTTTGCCTCAAAAGAGGAACAGTTTTTTTGACGTGACATCCACAAATGGGAAAAACGTATAGCCACCGATAGGCAATACTTCGAATAAAATATTTTGTATCATTTTCATACAATAAATGTGTATTTTTTATACAAAAATAATGGTTTCATATTTACATACCTGTTAGGTAGAAATAATGAGAAGGAATTTAAATTTTAATAGTTATTAGACATTACAATAATTAAACATTGTGTCAAAGTTTAGAAATGTTTCGAGGATATTAAAAAAATTATTACATGCAAAAACCTTTTTTGCAAGTCACCATATAATTTCTGTTTCTAGTTTTTGATTAAGAGTGCAATCCAATAAAATATAGTTAAAGAGGATTCAGATTAAAAATATATTTGCGATGTTATATACTTTACGAAGGTATTCTATTATTTACCTTGTAAATGCGTTTGGAGTAGTAGCAGGTGGATTGAATGTCCATGTAGAGTTGCTCAAGCTTGGTATAGATATATCAGGATTCGCAGGCTGCTGCGGTGGCGGCGAAGTCTTGCTGCTCGAAGAGAAAATTGCATCTGGATCTTTGATCGTTGCTAGAGAAAGCGGCGAACGGACGATAGAGCCCGGAGTAATGCTAGGATCATCCTCAATGCTTTTCATCTGGGTACCCTAAAATGAAATCAAATATAGGTGGACCCGAATAATAGCACCTTCAATGGTGCTTCGTTTCTTCCTCCCTCGCATAATTCAAAATAACTCTTCTCCGTTATTGACAATGTTTCGTACTCATAAGGCGCTTACAAACTTCAACTAATAAAAGAATATCATTCTAAATATGACTAACAAATTACGATTTTTATGCAAAAGAAAATTTAAGAATATCTTTTATCTTTTAAAATTAATATGCGCACTTATCTTCGATCTTCTGTATATCCATTTATATTAACTATATATAGTATTTTTATAAATACATGGAATCAGCAATTTAGAAATTAGATCTCGAATTTTTTTATTAAAAACTGTTAATGAGTTTGATTTAAATTTTGAACGAAGCGGAGAGCAAATTGCGAACTGTCGAGGGAGGAAACCGTGCGTAAAGTGATCTTCACTAAAGAAGTACGATATTGGAAATGGATTACCTTCCATGGCTTGCCAGGTTCAAATTCAGGTACGAGGTCGGTGAAGGCAGCAGCACCAGCAGCTGCGCCAGTAGGCTGCCAATCCTTTCCGTCAGTAGAGTCTGTGTTACCTGGATCAGGCCATCCGCTCTCTCCGAGCCTGGTGGACCATGTACCATCTCCTTGACCCAACAAAGGATTCATGTTAGGACTACTGTGTGACCGTGCTAAACCAGCCGGTGTAGCTGCTGGCTTACTGGTAGTTCCTGGCGCTCTCGAGAACTCGTTCGTAACTAACTCTCCGTCCTTGTCCAACGAAGGTAACTTCCACTGATTCAGTCTCGATTGCTGCTGACTCTGCAAAAATCCAGAAGTCATCCCAACTATCCACCATACACAGTAACTGTCCCGATTTCTGTTCTCATCACAATTTCTATTCACTGGCTTCTTTTTCCATCATTTCGTATGTTATTTTAAACTGATAGAGAAATAAAAAAGTGAATAAAAATCGTGATATGAACAGAAATTGAGATATTTATTTTAAACTCTCGAAGAAACTTCATGAATTATTCATCCATTCTTTCGATGTAAAATGGAATTCGAGTGAAAACGAGTGAAACGAGGAGAGTAAATTTTTCCTGTCTCTAAGATCGACAAAGTAGGATAAATAAAATGTTCACTTTTCAAATCTCCAGAACGGGAACGGTAATAAAACGAATTACAACGGAATTAATTAATTAATTGCACGATAATGATATAATGCCACAATAGAAGTAGCATGTAAACTCCGAAATACAGTTGTACATATTACACCGAAATTGAGAAAACATACTTAATTTAATATTTAAATAGAAGAAATGGTCTACTTACAACAGGAGGTTCCTTGTTCATCGTTAGGTCTGTAAAGCTATTTTGCAATGCCGACATAGGATCGTGTACAGAGTTTTTATAGTATTCGGAGCTCTGAGACGGCGGTACAGGATGTTGTTGCTGCTGTTGTTGCTGCTGCTGCTGTTGTTGCTGTTGTTGCTGTTTCATGTAAGTAGCTTGTTGCACAGCGATTTGATTTTGGAGGTTCACTATTTGCTGTTTTGTTTTTGTTATTTGCACACTGATCTGAAGAACAGACTGGCTATTACCCTTCATTGTACTTTGCACCGATTGCTGTTGATGAAGCTGTTGCAGGACTTTAATTTGTTGCAATAATTGATTCAAGAGTATCAAAGTTTGAGGTGCGAGTGGCTGATTTAAAATTTGATGGTTTAAGTAACCTTCCTGGACGGCTAGCTGAATCTGTTGTACCAACATGCGCAGTTGTTGAGTACTCGGTTGATTCTGAGGAGCTCTGGAAGCCTGCAATTTCGTAGAAGAACGAAACGAGTTTAGGCGAATTATATCGAAATTTGTACGGCAATTGATATTATTAGAAACGTTTAGAAATGAAGTTTACCTGATTGAAAGGCGGTTGCGGCGCATTGCTGCTAGATTGCTGTTGCTGCAACGGAACAGTAGTCTGTTGTTGTTGCTGTTGCAACTTTAATAAGCTTGCACTAGCAACTGATCCTCCCACGCTGCCAGTTGCATTCCCACTTGATACTCCAGCACCCTGTACCTCGTTTAGTTAATTTAAATTAGAATTTGACCTCGATACATGCTACATACTATGGTGACTCCCGTTATTATTATACTTAAAAATAGAATAACTCTTTTAATACTGAATTAAACAATTTCATTCTTTTTGGAATATTAAGAAGTTTGGATTATCTTAAAATATTAACGGAAGTCACTACTTATTTAAGGATGTATAGGCTATATACCTAAACAATGCTAGCATGATGAATTTATTATTATAGATTTCTATTACTATTAAAAAGCTACCTGCAAAATTTTNGGCTTTAGCAGGCACATTTTTAACAATTGAAAAGCATTCTTTGCAAATTCATACGAAGGAGAGTAGATGCAGAGAGGGCGTAATTGGGCGTGTAATAATTTAGTAAAAATTTTTACCGGAGGGAAAGACATTTGCTGTGCGACGTGATTAAATCGAGGATATGCTTGCGCAGTTGTAGCTTGATTGGTCGGGTCGTAAGTGGAGTGTGCGTCGTGTCGTCTCCACTGATCCAAGGGCCGTACCTGACTCAGGAGTTCCAAAGCTTCCTCTCGGTTCATTTCGCGATTTCTCAATGCCAACTCAACGTCCTCTTTCTACGAACAAATAATCATTTATTGAGAAAAACATTTTCTTACTGAAAGTCTATTAAAAGTTGTACGCAAAATGTTCCGATCATTAGAAGCTAATTAATATTCAATAATCGATAAAAAAAGAAATATGTACACGATTTCGCCTTTACATTTTTTTAATACGTAAAACTAGTGAATTTGAGAGACTATATTCTTCCTTAAAAGAAAGTTAATATCTACAATCTATTTGCATTGATTCGGAATATAAATGGCTTATTATTAGAATTCGGATTTTATGCATTTATGGAAGAATTGAATATGCAGAAAATATAAAAGATGCATGTAATGTATTAAAATATATGGCCTATCAAAAAGCTGTATGCATATCACGATGAATAATGACAAAAATTTTTATGCAAATCGCTTTTTTGAAATTTACACCACAAATGTTTCGTTTTGCATAAAAATTCACAGTCTACTGATTATTTAAGTAATGATAATCGTTCACTTACTTTGAAACCCAGATCGCAGAGGTATCGGAATTCTCTGCTGTTCCATATAACTTCTTTCGTGAGGGTGGGTTTTGTGGGATGACCCCAGCTAGGAGCAGGATCCATATCGGTGTCGCCCCAGCTTCCAGTGGGTCCCATCGGTTTAGGTTTGTGCGCGCTAGGTCCACCCCAAGTGCCAGTATTCAACTGAGCCTCGTTCCAAGTACTGGGCGTCTTGGGATCGTCCCACGAACCCGTGTCGTGCGGTCCTTCTGGCCAACTGCCATTTCGTCCACCGTGAGCCGGATGTCCCCACATTGGTCCGCTAACGTCTGGTTTCATTCCAGGCTGTCCTGGCATTCTGTTCTGTGGCATACCCGGAGGGCACTGCATTCCTGCACGAGTCATTTTTAAATGATTAAGTAACCACCTTCCCTGATTTGCGAAATACAAAAATAAGAAAAACGAGACGAACCTCCCCTTCCTAGATTTGGTGTGGGAAGATCCTTCCAGTGAGACACTTTACCGCCTGGTATGGCTCGCTGATTGGCAACAGAATTTCCCCACAAACTGGTACCATCGTCGTAATTCGGGACATTTCTTCTTTGCGTCGGTGGCGAAGGTTCTTCCCAACCGGTCGGCTTCCCTGGCATTATGTCCTTCGGCGGCGGTGCGGTCCACTGATTTATGTTCGAAGGGTTCAACATCTTGGTCGGCGGCGCCGAAGGATGTTGGTGTGCCATCTGATGATGAGGCGGGCCAGGTGGCTGTCCCCACATCGCATCCGCGTTGGCACCATTCAGCCTGCCGGAGATTCCACGAGGATCGCCGCGCATGTCTGCCATTCTGGGATCCCGGGCCATCGGATCCATCACGCGTATGTGCTCCCGAGGGTCCAACGACATTCTGTGATCGCGAGGATCTCGCATCTCTCGTGGATCGACCGAACGCAGATCGCGGGGATCACGATGATCAATTCGCGGATCACCCCAGTTCGGTCCTGTATCATCACGGTATTCTTCTCGATTTAATTCAAAACCAATTTTGTAACTTAACGTAAAAATTATGCTAGTCCTACATGGTTGGTTTGGTGACGTTTATATTAAACTACTCAATTAGCATGCGCTACTATCAACCACTTATTCTATTCGTATCATTACTTTTTGGTTCCAACACTAGTGATATTATTATTATTATTATTATTATTATTATTGTCATTATTCACGTTAATTGTCCATAGAGATAATAAGTCCGTTGAACTTCTACTAAAAAGATTGTAAAAATTCAATTGTTCTTAATTACGTTAATATTGGACAACATAATTGATGTGAGAAATGAATTCCGAACGAGATACTCCACTATTCCCACTGAAATGGAACATCCTTTACGTATGCGAGACGATGATTGCGCCTAAACGATATGTTCTTTACAAGCATATAGAGAAAATATATGTCACTGAAGATAAATATGCCTTCATAATTCATTAAACGAAAAACAACTTTGGAATTTGATTGTTCCCGATCGCGGAATTCGAATAAGTGGTTGAAATCTCAAAAGGAAACGGGAAGGAAGTGTCCTACGTAATTATTATTACCTCCCCACATACCGGGTTGATTACCGGTACCAGTTGTCCACTGGCCGGCAGTTGAGTTCGGCTGAGAAGATGTGGGAGCAGCAGTCCACATGTTCGACGAGTCGGCTGCTTCGTCGTCCTCACCCCAAGTCCCACCGATGTTCGTCGCCGGCGTGTGACCCCAAGGAGTTTTCGCTTGCTGTTGAGGCGGAGGCTGACCACCGTTCCGAAGATTCGCTTCCCACAGGTCGGTGCCGTTGTTCACCGGTGTCTTCCATACTCCACCTCCGTCCTTGGACATGCTAGGTTCCGGAGAAGTTGGGACATCCCAGTTTGTGTCCTGGTTTACGTTTTGCTGAAATCCAAAACGATGATCTAATGAAATTTAAAATATAACATACTAGAACCCCCGTAGCGATTTCTCCTAGAAAAGAATAGTGTTCCGTTCTATTTATTTATAATAATATTTTTTATTTTACAAATGAATATAGCATATGATATCCCGGAGTGTGAAGAAAATTTTGGAACAATTAAAATTTTGTATTACTATTCTTATTCTGAAAATATATTCATATCAACAATCACAGAGCAAACTTCTTATCAGACGTAGAATTTATCGCGAAACCTTAAATAAGCAAATGAAATTAAAAGAGTAAAGGTTTATTCCACTTACGCAGCCCCAACCATCTTGACTGAAGAGTGCTTCCCTGACGGTGTTCAGCTGCTCCAATTGTTGTTTCGTCGAAGGGTTATTGCTCGCTGGCGTATTATTACTGTTCACAGATCCCTGAGTCGGATTATTAGGTTGAGTATTATTGCTACTGGAATTTTGCTGCTGTTGTTGTTGTTGTTGCTGCTGCTGCTGCTGCTGCTGCTGCTGACTCGAAGTGTTGTTATTTTGGACAGAAGTGTTTTGACCAGGCCCACCGGGATTGCTGGACTTTCCCTGGGACCATTGGTTGTTGTTTTGCCCGCCTTGATTCGTACCGCTCGACTGGGACGTCGGTGGACCAGATTGTTGATTCGATTGCTGATTCGGATTGTTAACTTTGTTCACGTTGCCTGAAACATCATTGTCCAAAAATATACACGAATGTACGAATCGATGGTTCTGTTTTACCCATTGTTTTAACATGTTAACTGCATTAATTTACTTTAGAAGCACGTATTTGTGGCAAATTCCTTACCGTACACAGCTATCATATTAATCCGTTTCAATAATTCATTTTGCATTACATATTCAACACAATTATGTAAATTAATAAACTATACATGTACTTACATATGCCACGCAAACGAGAAATATACAAAAAATATAAATGAACTTAACATAACAAATATACCTATATCATATATAAGATTACATTTATTCACATGATCTTGAAAAAGTAACAGCTACTAAAACTGTTAGATTAAAACATCTATGAAGCAAATAAAGGTATTAAACAAATTCATCAAAATTTCGATATATTATTCGGCTGAAATAAAATAATTTCCCTATTGGATATGGATCAGTAATTCAGCATTTCTGAATTCAGTGTCATGAGAAGGATATTGTGTAATCATTGAACTTGCCTGGCCACCTGAACGTATAAAAGCAGCTGACAAATTATTTGAATGAAATATCAGAAGTTACAGAGGAAGTGCATCTGTTGCATGATAAAGAAGACATTGTGATCTAATCTATATACTTGGTACTGATAGGGAATAGCTTACCTGACACGTTTTGTCCACCGGGAGGTCCTTGATTCTGATTCGAATTTGGATTATTAGCAACGGATCTGTTTACACTGTTTCCGGACCAATTCCCGGGCGCACCGCTATTTCCGGAGCTTCCCGAGCTTCCTCCCCAGCCTGACTGATTATTGTTGTTGTTGGTGGCGGTGGTGCTTGTCTGGGTGGAACCCCAATTCGTGGAGCCGCCGGTGTTCAACGAGCTTTCGCCACCGCCGGCCAGTCGAAAAATACCAGGAATTCCCCATCTCTTCTTGTACTTAGAATTGATATCGTCGGTGCCGAACAAAAGCGTCAACACGCGCTTCAGATTATCCTTATGAGCTTGCGACACGTTCTTCGAGATTCCAACGGTCGCCGCGATCAGGCTTCTTGCATAATCGATGAGGCGAGCACGACCATAGTCGTTCATCTCCAAAGTTGAATAGCGTCGATCCTTCGAAGCGAATGGAACGATGGGTTTTGCCACAGAGGTTCGTTCTTTGCATAAATCTACCGTAATGGCATCCATGTTCGTTGATATAGCGTTAGAACCGTCGCTGACAACGGATCGAGCAGTTTCAGAGGTTGTATCCGTTGGTACGAATTGCTTAGGATTTATTAGACTTTCCGTAGCGAAAATATTCTGGTCGATATCGAATCCGTTCGCTTCTATCTCACGATTTTGTTGGTAAGTTTGCTCATTCGGGTTCGTTCGTTTAAATGAACTAGAGCGCGTTGAAGAATTAATAGAAACGTCTCCCTCTATTGACTCGCGTAAATTTTGGCAATAATAATTAATGGAACCGCGAGAACGGAGTGCTCCAACAGAGCGATCGTCGTCATCGTCTTCGTCGGTCCGAGATTCGATCCATTCCAGTCGGTTAACGACACGGTTGATAGTTTTGACAACGTTTCGGGTTGCGATTTGTTCGTTGAAAGCATGAGTAGTCTCTCTAAGTTTAACCACATAAAGCTTACGATCTAACGAGAGTGGAACACATGCGCGTTGCGTCAGCTCGCTTACGACCAGGTCGAGCCACAAAGGAGAAGATTGTGCGCGTTTCGGCACTTTGCTCAATGGGAGAGGTCGCAGAGGCTGGTCGTTTAACTCGTTTCCGGGAACGATAAGCGTAATGGAAGAACTGGTGGCCACGTATTTCCCTTCACCGATCGAACTTGATTCCTCTTGCTCTTCCTTCCCATCTTCCTCGGCCGACGACCGATCGTCTCGTTTCACTTCGCGGATCTTGATCGACCGATGACTAAAAGCTTCTTCGTTGATTCCCACGAAGGTAGATCCGATGATCGCTGATTTGATCCACGGCTCGGATGAAACGAAGTCTTCCGGAGTAATGAGAAACGGACCAAGAGATTCGTTCTCGAAGAGTAGCCATTGCAACGTCGACGAAAAGGTCTCGATACCCCGATGAATCCGATCTTCGGTGGAGGGCGATGATCGAAGATGCTCGAAGAGTTTTGGCATTCGGTTATAGAGTCGAACGTTGAACGAGAGTAAGATCGTGAATGGCTGAACAACCGGTGTTCTTCGTCGTCGCGAAGAGGAGAACGATGAATCGTCGAAAGAAGAGTCGAATGGATCGAAAGGTGTCGAAGTTAGTCTCATTGCGATCGCACCACCGTCCATTTGAACGCGGAGGAAATCATAATGGTTACTGGTTGAGCTGAGCAATATCACAGACTTGTAGTTATCGTTATTATTACTTAGGATATTATAATTAGACTTAACGTTATTGTATTTGCCTGGATGAAGGCAGGATCCTAATAAGGAGTAATTGTCAAGAGAGTCGAGAGAAAAGCGGCCTGACGAGGGGCGATCAGACTTGGGTATCCTAACTAGGCTAGGTACCCCTTCGTCGATTGCACACTTATCTCCTGTTAATCGTAGATTTACGCTTATACTTAGTACCCTAATGTTTAGTATGCTAAAGCTAGTCTTATTATCACTTAATGTCTTAGACATAGACTTAGAGTTATTGGCGGAGCTGTCCGGAGCTTTCTGGTTGCCGGACGAGCCCGATTCTTTTCTTTTTCTTGTTGTCGTTTTTGTTGTTTTTGTTGATGTTTTTGTTTTTGTTGTATTCACTGTTTTTCGATCGTCTCGATGATTACGTTCCGCTCGATTTGAGCGACCATTTAATTTAGGATTATTATTACTGTTATCGTAATTATTACTATTATTATTCTTTTTATTATCGTAAGTTAGAAGATTTTTTATTGGGTTTTTTGTGGTTGACGACGCCACTGACTGGCAGGTCGAGCTTCGACTGGTCAAGACAAACTTGCCTGAAACATTAAACGATACATCGTCCTATAATACCCGCGAAGACGTTTAACTCGTAAAGCATTTTGTTTAATCTTACATGCATCTTTTAATAAAGTATACTGTGTAGGAAAATGTTTTATGTATAGACCGCGGATTTTTGTGCAAAATAAATCATCTGTAATATCAATTTAAAGGCCTAGCTGACGAAGTCAAACACATATAGACTCACATACGCTACAATTTTCATTCTGAACATTTTTTTATCATTCATATTTATCGAGATATTTGATCGAGTTTCAAAAAATTGGACACCACTTGGTGTTTTCTGAACTGTCCCTAATTGCAGTTACTTAATGTAACTAAATGATTTCATCATTTAGAAATGTGTAAAAATGACCGATAAACTTTTTAAATTAGGTACAAAACATTCTACAAGAATTGCATTTGCTGTGCGAACGAGACTGCGTTATATGTATAAAGTTAGCAAAAAGAAAAAAATTCGACATACCTCTACGTAATCTGATCGAATTAAATGACAAAGAATTTTCAATTTACTCCATATTACATTTAAGAAAGCAACTTTCAGTAAAATTAGATAAGAAAATGGTTGAAACGAAATAATTACTATTTGAAAAATTACGTTTGCTCCTAATTATTCTAAAGCAAAAGCCTGGAAACTTGAACAAAGCAGAGAGATGTCTCGTAAAGTCTGTGTGCTTGCGAAATAACTAATTACACTTTTCTAAAATGCACATTATCCAAAATAGTCAGAGCGTGTCAAATTGTTGAAGAAAGCATGAAAAGAATAGAACTTTAGTAGAGATACAAACGCAAGTTTTACGTTAACCATTATTCATACAATTATAAGTGTCTTTTTCATGTTTTCATGCTTACAGAAGAATTCTAAAAATAAATATATATATATTCTAAAATAAAATATTCTATTAAAAAAAAATCGCGGCTGCACCATATAAATGATAAAACTGCTAAACGATACATTTTTCATTGAAATTCGTTTGTATTTTGATAGGTAGTTTTAAACTAAGATTCATAAAGGATTAAGTTATAAAAGGATTATTATGAATCGAATATCTATTTCTCATATTTTACATCACTTTTTCAGTAAACCTAATACGAATCAATTCATATGAGAAGAGAAATTTTCTATTTAGATGGAATGAAGTCAGCATTAAATTTTGCATCGTAGACTCGATCCTTATCTGCAGCCAGCAAACGTGGCAATAATGCAAGCTATCGACTTATTTCTATTTTATCATTATCATAACTTCATTTCATATATTGCCATTAATATATGTTTCATACCTTTAAAAGGTCACACGGAAATATAACTTAATATAGACACACGACTAAAAGTACGAGCTATTTATAATTATTTCATGTTCACTGGATTTATTAAAAGAGTAATATAAATTTCCTATATTGCACGTGAGTACAGATTAAACTGTTGATTAAACTGTTTATATCTTGTTGAAAAAGATATACATGTACATATATGAAATCAGGTAGTCTCGTACTTTCAGTCTTATCTACGGAAGGAGTACGAAAGTATGTGGTATTGAATAAAAAATATAGTTACCAGTTTGGTTCGACAGGACGGTTAAAAAGTCATTGGCGGCGGTATTTTCGAGATGGCTAATAGGTTTGGCCATCATATTGTTGTTAGCGGATTCGATATCACAGTACCTATCATTTTCTAATTCTCTTCCCTCCCCAACCCCTACCGGACTGTTTTTTCCTAATACTACTTCATCCCTCTGAAACAGAAATAATACAGATTACATTTTTAACGAGACGTTTAATAAAACTGAAACAGGTTTAAGTTTCTTTAAGAAGTATTCTGCTTTTGTTTTAGGAATCCTTTTAAAAGAACTATTAAACCTTTTGGTTTTAGTACATATTATGTACGTTCGTGTATTTAAAACACATAATGCATTTCTTTGAAGTAAAAACAATCGCAATTACGTGAATTATATTCTGTTTATAGAGAGTGTTTTACAAAGATTATTGATTCGTTGATGTGGCGAAAAATATGAATGATATGTAAAAATCAAACGAAAATTGTAACGTATGTTCAAAATCCAATAACTCAGGCGTATATCGGACTGAAAAATACGTCCGTGTTTAAAATGGAATTGTTGAATAAGATCAGCAGGAGTAACTCACCATGGAATTTTGTACGAAGGCATTTGTTTCTGTAGAAATCTCATGTGAACTAGAATTGTGTGGAAACATTGGGCTCAGTTCTTCTTTGGCAGGCAATGCATAGAAACCAAGATCTAAAATGCAAAATTTAGGAACTTATTACTCCTTAGTATTACTGTTATCAGTATTCGCATGAGAGAATACGTTAGTCAAAGATTTTAATATGTTTCATTCATCACTAGCCTGCGAAGTTTATGCATTTATAAACAAATTGTAGCTACAGAAAATAGAAACGCTGCGTACGATGCGTAAAAATATAGAAAATCTCACAAATGAGTGCATATTGCAATGCTTAAGTGATGAAAAAAAATTCAAACTGAAACCTTTAATTGATTACCATAAATATTTTATTTTACATAGAAATCCGCAGTCTATTCATCACCAATGCTTTAATTAGCTAAAGTGAAGTTTAATTGAGACGTATGTAGTCGATCTTGCTCTGATTCATTCTGACATCATTTATATTATAGAACTGCGATATACATATAAAAGAGACTATAAAATACAAAAAAACTGCAGATCCATAACGATAACCAGTTAAAAAAAAGGAACGGAAATGTTGAAGAGATGAAATTTAAGTTTTTCACAATTTTAGTGTTCTGCGATTAGTACCGATACAGGATTAATTTTTAAGAATGAATGCATACCTTGTAGACTATCACTATCAGTGTACTCCTAGCTCCATGCCAGTGGAGATCTGTAATAATCAAAAAATTCAATTAACATACACGAGCAAATTAAAATTAATTTACACTTTAACATTTCAATAGTAGAATGATAAAATCGATAATCTTTGCATAAAATAATTTTAAAACACTTAATTACACGTAATCAACTGTGTAGTACGAATATATATGAGCAACAAGCTGTGATAAAGATTAAATCTCTGCGTGAAGATATAGAAAAAAATAGAGTTCTCATTAATACATTTTATGTCTGCTTTACTTTTTATATTTATCTCATCTTTTTAATGCTGTAACGTTTTAATTGACATCTCATAAATTTAACAAATGTATAATATAGTATACTATACTCTAAATCGTAATTAAATTATCATTATGAAGACTATTCTATTTAAAGCTATTACATCATATTGACAATCAACCACGGTAATCTGATACGAGCTGATAACCATTGAAATAATAATAATCTGTTTTACGAAGCTATGAAAGCCTTTTGACTTTATCCAGTTCCTATATTTCGAAAATATTTTAAACTGGTATATTCAAATTAAAAATCTACTTGAATATAAAATGTTATGTTTTCAATAAATCGTTTTTATTTAAAAATGTCTAGCAGTATCTTATTGCCAAAAGTTTCATACTATGCGAATAAAGGCAAGTGCAGTTTATCATAACATG